TGAATTTCCTGGCCCTAGTGTTATTATTTGCATGTTCTTGCTTTTCTTAACCTTTTCTTCCTCCTTTTAGGGGCCAAGCAGAAAAGGAATTTAGAGTGGAGGTAGAAGCCATTGGCCATGTACGCCACAAAAATTTGGTTCGCCTTCTGGGATACTGTATTGAAGGAACACACAGGTTTAGTTTTTGCTTAGTAAGTCTTAAATTGGTTAATCAGATAATTAGCAAGTCTAAATGCTAACCAAATTATGGACAAATTGTTGAAAGAGTCATGTTGTGCTTGAATATTTTGGAGGTAGCTTACTTAATTGTTAACTATATACCAATGATGTTATTATCTATTAACAGAGTTTGTAGTCATGTTTATATTTAAAATTTCAGGATCTTGGTTTATGAGTATGTCAACAATGGAAATTTAGAACAATGGCTTCATGGAGCTATGCGTCAGCAAGGATATCTTACTTGGGATGCTCGCATGAAGGTCCTTCTTGGCACAGCTAAGGCGTAAGTCCATTTTTAACGCACAACCAGTACTCTGGTTCTCTTACAAAAGTTTAACTTGATATACTTTTTGCAGTCTAGCCTACCTGCATGAGGCCATTGAACCCAAAGTGGTGCACCGAGACATTAAGTCAAGCAATATATTGATTGATGATGAGTTCAATGCCAAGGTCTCAGATTTCGGTCTTGCCAAGTTGCTGGGTGCTGGGAAAAGTCATGTCACAACTCGAGTCATGGGAACATTTGGGCAAGTATTTTCTCTTATGCATGTTTGCATGTGCTTATAAGTTATAAGCTAGTTCTTCCTTCATCCTCTCTCTGCAATTTTTTTTTTGTTTCTCGTGCTATGTGTGCAAAGGTTTAATCACCTCTTATTCACTTATCCCTTTCTAAAAATAACACAGATATGTGGCCCCTGAGTATGCAAATACTGGCCTTCTGAATGAAAAAAGTGATGTTTATAGCTATGGGGTTCTACTGCTGGAAGCAATCACTGGAAGAGATCCTGTAGATTATGGTCGTCCTGCCCCTGAGGTAAGCATAAGCACTGACACAATCTTTGTGAAGAAAAGGCATTATACTGCTTTAGTTGTGGAAGTCTGGAAAGTTATTAGTTACCATTTGGTAATTTGAATCTCCTTACAATCTAGTAGGCAGGAGTGCTGAATCTGGCATCAATGCTTGCATTTTGGGATGGATTTGCACATGTTTGCAAATTTTAGTCTCCATGCTAAAGAATTGAGTTAGCATAATGTGAATATCGTTTTGAGCACTCAAGGCTTCCCACTAATGCAGTTACACTTAATCAGTACCTTTCTGTAGAGCTTTCGGCTCTGCCTTTAATTTCTTTTATTATAGTTCTAATGTCATGTCCTGTCCCTTATTTTTTGGTGCATTAAAGAGAAAAATTGATGGTTAGGACTTGAGGTCCCAGTGTACCATACTATAATAAAGACCTAGTTTCCACTCTCATGGTTCTGATGGCTCAGTTTGAACCTAAACATTTTCTATTATTTTTCTGGCCAAATACGGAAATCAAAAAACCTCTTATTTCTGTCTGTTAACTTTATTAGGCTGGAGCTGGATGATGGCTGCACATCTAAAAGAAATTAATTTCTCTCTTTTAAAGTACCAGTTTCTCATATTTAACATGGAACATTTATGTCGATAGGTAAATCTGGTAGACTGGCTAAAAATGATGGTTGGCAGCAGGAGGTCTGAGGAAGTGGTAGATCCAAATATTGAGGTAAGGCCATCAACAAGAGCCCTAAAGCGTGCCCTATTGACTGCACTTAGGTGTGTTGATCCTGATTCTGGTAAAAGACCCAAGATGAGCCAAGTTGTGCGTATGCTTGAGTCTGAGGAATATCCCATACCAAGAGAGGTTAGCATCAAAACTCATATCTTTAGCACGAATGCTTATTTGAACTTGAACTTAATGGAATAGCTAGCACATGCGTAATGACATCTGTGTCTTGATGGTCTGATGTCTATAAGCTATGCATTGCATTTGCGAGGAAATGAGTGTAAAGAGATGGCTTTTAACCGATTTTTTGGTATACAGGATAGAAGGCACCATAGAAGTCGTGGAGGGAGCTTGGAGATTGATTCTCAAAGGGATAATTCTGACACTGACCGAAGTGATTATCCAGGTTCAAGATCAGAAAGCAAGCGGACACAATTATAAGCAAGGATTTATTTTGAAGTTGTGAGAGATTCATAAGCTGGTGCAGGTGTGGGAAGGAATTCTTAAAATTTAATTTTCAATGGCGTTTAGATTCTTGGGGTTTGTCTCCATAGATGGTACTGGTTGGTTGTTGTTATGCAGGGGGTGTGGGTCGGGGGAAAGGTTGGATGAGATGGGAGGTGACTTGTTTATTCTTTTCCTTGTTCCTTTTTAATATAATTTGTAGATGAAGAGATGATCTGTTTGTGTACAGAATTGGGTAGCTCTGGAAGAAGTGCTTGATACTTGCTAGGGCAATATG